AATTTCCACGAAAGCGTAGATTTAGATGTAGATTTCTTACATTTGGACGGTCGGGTTTCTCGACACTCCATCTATCAAACGTATACAGTGTCGAGCCACGGCCTCGACACATTTATCCTGCCCCATGGCGATGTACCGACGAACAACTACATAACCTATTCTATTCAGTTCGTTTTCCGTTCTCGAAATCTGTCTTACCCAACAACCCTCTTCGTCGCGTATCGCGTATCGCGTATACTTCAAGTTGTCAGCAGGGGCTTGCCGCGAAGCTTCTAAGCTTCTAAGCTTCGTTCCCTGCCTAAATGGAGTTGCGCGTTGCGCGTCCAAACCCTTGGTTGAATGAATTGTGAAGCTGACACGGTGGGTGGGGTGCAACGTAAGTATGTAAGTATGTAGAGTCGAAGGAATTCGAAGGTCTTAGATCCCGGGGGCGCGGGGTTGGATTGAGAGGTGGCGGGGATGGGAGACCGCGAACCGGGGTACGGGGTAGGTTTAATGTATTGGCATTCGTATGGGGTACGGGGGAAGGAAGGGGAAGGGGAATTGGGGAGGAGGCGGTGGAAGGGTAAGTTCTACCTCAATGATCGGAGGTTAGGACCTATTTTCTATCATAACTCTAACGCAATGGGTTGGCCTAGAGTAGATTGAAGACACGCGGGACAAGTCTACCTGATGCTCATGAGCTCGGTAGCCTATGTTTAACTGCAGGGGTCGAGTCGAGGCAACTGCCCCACTATGTAACTTAAGGCCTCCGAGTCCGCCGCCGGGATGAGGACCGGAACTTGGAAGAGTTTGGCCAGTTGTGCGTACCGCACTGGCGCATGTACAGAAGCGTGGACTACATGGATGACACGGATGTGCCAGTCGGTGGATTGGTGTTACGTACTGCTGTAGAGTATATACTGGACGGCGAGGGGGGGATAAAGCTCTCTTTCTTTCTTTTTGACAGAATTTTCTTCAGACTCTGATGATCGAAGTGAAGGCAGTGCGAAATTTGTACAAG